TGGACAATGTTTTCAGCTCTTTCTTTCTAACTCATTCTCTTTTCATCTGTTACTAATATGCTGTTTGGCCCTCCCATTCAATTTTTAATTTTAATTACTATATTTTTCATTTTTAGAAATTTTATTTGCTCCTTTTAGAAATTTCCATAGGAAATGGAAATTTAGTCTTCCATCACTCTTTTCTATTCATTCTTTTAACATTTTAATAATTTAAACAATTTTATATTCTCTTTCAGATTTTTCAGTAATCTCAGGATCATGTTAAGTACTTTGCCTGCCTATCCTCACTCCTACTTAATTATTTATAGTGTATCTAAACAGAGTAGTTTTCTGTATCTTCCTAGATGCTCTAGAGGTTTCAGTAGCCAAGACTAGTACCCCTGTCGTTAATTTCACAGCTTGAAAAGTCTTGTACCATATGAATGGTATAAATTTGGACTTCAATCCATAGGCTTGTGATTTTAGCATCTTATGAGACACATTTTTCACAACCAGGGGCATGAAAAGAAACAAGACTTCCGGGAATGTTCCGGGGCTGGAAGGCATGAGTGCTCATTAATGAAGACAATTGTTCCAGAGTCTCATGTTTTTGCATACCTTCAATTAGAGACTTCTGTTATAGGTCTAAGGTGATATCTGTGATGTCTTCTCTCCCTGCCTGGTCTTTAAAATCCCAGCCCCTAGATATTATGATGCATATTTAGGTTCCAAATTCATTGAGCCACGAAGGTGCCAGCTTTAGAGTGTGCCTTTCTGTTTTAACCTCCCTCTGTACTTTTAGATTTCCCTTTGTTTCTTCTTTCTAAAATGAAGTATGCATTAAATTTGGGGAGTTATAATTTATTTAGCATTTCTATGAATTTCTAAACATTAGGATGGATCTGAATTAACTCAGGCTGCATGTTGTCAGAAATCTCTGGCTTTCCTTTCTAGCGTCCTTGCTTCCTATCAGGGTTTTTTTTCCCCACTGATCTGCCACATAAGAGTAAATTTACAAAAATCCAGTTTATTCCCTAGACTCTTGACCCTAAAGCAAGAGAAAACTCCTTTTCAGGTTTCTATGGATTCCCAGTCTCCTCATGTTAAAGGAATAAACACTAGAAAATCACTTACAACAGCAGTTCATGTATTTATTAGAATCAAGGCCTTAAACTTACTTAATTTTTAGGTATATTTCCTCCTATAAAAAATATATTTTTTAGACCACCCCTCATCTCTAGTTTATCTAAAGCCTACACCTTGCTTATACAGCACTGTTCTTTACTACCTCACTCTTCTTGTTTCTATGAAAAAGAAGATATCACTTACAAATTGCTTTCATTTTATTCTGTATTTTATATTTTTTTCTAGAAATATCTAGAAAAGACCATGCTAAAGATTTTTAGAATTATGGCTCCCTCAAATGATGGGTAATTGTAGCAAGTAACAGAACTTGAATTTGGAGACTAAAGAGAAAGAACACAATGTACTGGAGTTGAAGCCCAGTATAAATTCTTCTATTTCTAATGCTCATTCTAGTGAAGATCAGACTGAACACTGACTCTAATTGAGAAGGGGGAGCCTGGGCTACAGGGTATTAATGAATATTGCTGGTGTGTGTGTGTGTGTGTGTGTGTGTGTGTGAGAGAGAGAGAGAGAGAAAGAAAGAGAAAGAGAGAGGGGGGAGGGGGGAGAGAGAGAGAAGAAAAGTGAGAGGGGAGAGAGAAGGGGGGAGACAGGGAGAGGGAGGGGGGAGAGAAAGAGAGTGAGTTTGAGACAATGACTCCAGGGTAAACAAGAGGGTACTGAAGAGAGGAAACCTCCCATTGCCAGAGGAGTGAAAGAGTGATTCATTTTTTTTTTTTAATGCAAGATAAGGGAAGGTCATGACTGCCTAAATTTCCTACATGTTAGTATATAGGGCATAGCACATTCCACTGACTTAGAGAAAGGGAGGGAGGAAGGAAAGGAAGGGAGATGACATTGCAGAATAGGTGAGACAGTGTGATTATTACTATGTGATGATTCTTTATGATCTTAGTGATCCAGAACTATGGAATTCACTCTACATAACCCTTCTTTTCATTGTTGTTGCTGTTTGTTATTGGAAGGCACCAGATTCAAGTGCACAGCATTTAAGACCATTCGAGTGGAAAGCTCAGAGGCCTCATATCCCAGGACTACTGAAGTCTGTTGCCTCTGGTGGTGATTCCAAGCATCCAGCAGCATATGAAATCTATTTGTCCACCTACTTCTAAAACCTGATCTGGCTGATAACATAGGTTTTAAGTTCACCTATCTGGCAATTTTTTTTAGTTTTAATTTTCTGTTGTTTTAGCATCAGAGGACTTTTTATAGACCCAAAGCAATTAAGATTAGAACAAAATAACTGGATCTTCCTATTCTCTTTTCTAAAGTGACACATTTGCCCTCTCCTTTCCTTGCACCCACTAATGAGAGGTACTAAATGAGATGTTATCTTGGAGATTGTGTGTTGGAAAACAAATGCTTTATAGTATTTATCCCACCTGAGACTAACAGAAAAATAGCATTTGTTTCTTCATAATGTCTACACTTCCAAAATACTTTATTTCAATATTTAAATAAATGATGCAAGACACGTAGCTGTTACTCTTTACATAGGAATGCTCCACTACAGTCTTTAATTGTAGAAAACCTCCACCTGCTTATTATTTAGTTAAGTGATCAACTTTCTCTCACTCATATTTTCTTTTCAATGATCTTCTTGATTATGTGTGTGTTTATAAATAGGTAGACTTAAGCAGATTTTTTTAAAAGTGAAGTTGCTTTAAAAATGCTGTCAATTATGCTTTGAGGTTATTTCTACCATTCATTTGTTTCTGTCCTTAATGTTATTTTCAATGCTTTTTTTTTTCTTCTCACATTAATTCACATCCATTTTCTTCACAGTAGTAATTGGTTGTTTTATTGCTTATCTAACAGGTCTTTTCTCTCCTCATGTAAATTCCTCCTTTGTTTCTTTGTCCTTTCTGATTCACTGAAAACATTTTTCCTTCTTTTTAGGGAGAAACTCAAATGAGTAAAGGACTCTCCTGTATTTTTATCCTTGAATTCTTTCATACATAAATAATAAACTTAGTCTCACTCTTTTGTGTTTATCCACCAATAATACCAGATCTTACATATACAGAATGCTAGTCCTAGCTATGTAATTGCTCAACCTAATGACTGGCGAATATATTTATTTTCTAGTAAAACAGAACTATATTATCATGACATTAAAATTAAAAATTTATTTCTTCTGTTCAAGAAACAAACTTTCTGTTCAGTCCAATAAGTTTTCTGGGACAAATCAGTCTTCTGTGAGTTTACGGATAGCCATTTAATCAATAAGGGATTCTCTTTAGCATTTACTTTGTACTTTTTCAGACATTTAATTATTTTTTTTTATGTGGGATATGGAAAAAGAGAAGGAATGATGATAACAAGAGGACATGTTGCAATGCATTACAGTTCATCCCAGCTCTATGTTTGAGGCTGGCTAGATTGTCACGTATAAGCATCAGTGTTAAGGAAAGAGAACATTTTGTGCCTGCATAAAAATTACAGTCTTCTACATATAAAGTGATAGTATTAAATTTGGGTGAAATTAAACAGCTCTTTAATAAAACAACGTTAGAAGTTTATGAAGATGAAGCAAGGACAATAGTGAGATCTTGACTGGTACAAATGATTATAGATAGACTTGAAAGATATTAGTTAGAATGACATTCATTCATTCATTCCTTCATGAGTGCCTACTATTTGCCAGGCACAGTGCTAGACACTAAAATGGTCCTATAATGAAGCATAGGTCATATGAAAATGGTGAACTTGGAAATTTGGGTCTTTAAAATAGATTATGAGAAGATAGATTTGAAAAATAAGTTCATTTTGAAAAGATAACTAGGCATAGGGAAGTTTCTGCAATAACTGTATCACCATTTTGAATAAGAAATAAAGAAAGCGTATGGTATTAGAGCTTATTCCAGAGGAACCAAAACAGTAGTAACTGCTGATGGAATATGATTTCACTATGACCATGAGATAAACCTTCTAAGAGTGTGGTAAATATCTTTATTATCCCTGAGGCCCAAAAAACCCTTTGTGTCCAATACCAAAGCAAAGAAAATATTGATCTGTTTCTTTAACACTAATTATTTATGTATATCATTCACAATCAAAGGTCCAATCTAGTTTTTTTTTTCTGAAATTCTGATGCAAAGACCAAAGGAGTTCAGAACATTTAGTTCAGAACATTTTAACTCAGCATGTGCTTCCTATGAAATATTTTTTAGCTTAAAATAGTATTATGAAGGTATATCACATGACTTATTTTCAAAATGTTGCTCTACGTGTAAAGAATGAAGATTTGTTAGTACTGAAGATACTCAGATAATGTGCTATATTTGGAGACCCCAAATTCTGAAATATTTCCAAATGTATTTTGAACAACGACAACAGCCCAAGGTTCCTTTGAAGGTACAGGTTTCAACTGATAAAATTGATACAGGATTCAATAGTATAAATAGTTTAGAAGCATATGATCTCATGTGTTTTGTAAAATGTATACTTTCTAGTCAAGCTTCACATATAACCAATTTGTGGGTGAGTATAAGCAGTGGTGTTAATTTTCAGGGCACTTTCTTATTGATGGTATTTGGAGCAATAGCAATAAATTTCCCTGTCCAGAGTCTTAATGTTTGACTGTCTTTCTTCTGTGAGTTGGTGGCAAAAAACTGCTTGGCATCTGCAATAATTTCAAGACCCTCATCAGTAGTAGGAAGTAGTGAGAGACTGAGAAAAGAGTTCTATTATTACAGCACACTGAAAGTTTATTTTGGATACGATTTAAAAGGGGCCTTTGAAAATAATTCAAAATAAATATTCTAGTTTACTGGGATTTTTCTGAGCTCATTTAAATTTGAGAAATTCCGTTTAGGTACTTTTTCCAAAAGATTGACCTGCATTCTTAGTACATAGCACTATTCAGTTCTTACCAGTTTTGTAGCTTCGTGCGCAAGACCTTTAGCTTCTTGGGCTATTTTCTCAGCTTCATCAATAGAGTCCTTAATATGGCTGTAAGCATTGAAGGCTGCAGTGGCATTGAAGGAGATGTTTTTGGCCTCATCAAGGATTCTGTTGGGATTACCCCCAAAAAAGAACATCAGAGCAGTTGGTACTCAAATGAAGAACATTCTACTTATAACAAATATGGCTTCCAAATGATCACAGCCAAGATCATTATGATTCCAAGTCATAATGAGGTATCTACTTATTGTATTATAGTTTTCAATTTAAACTCATATTCCTAAATAATTCAGCTGTGAAATACTACCAACATATTTTTAAACACCCGTAGTATCCTTTAAAAATTTCTGCAACCACCTGTACCATGCAACTGTGAGCAGGGAGATGATCCTTTAGGTCATTTGTAAAGCTTGCTATATGTTTCAGAGCACTTGTACCATATTACTGGAATGAATTTCACAAAATCTCTTTAGGGGAGGTGTACTGCCCAGATGAAAACAAATGAATCTCGGAAGGTTAAATAGCTTGTCTCAGGTTACATGACCAATACATCCCTAATTAAGGACCTGGAGTCTGCATCTGTGGGCTTCTAGCTTACCTGCTAAATAGGCAAAAGTCTACTATAAAATGAATTGTGCATGAATTGTGGCCAGGGTCTTCAAACATTAATAGTCTCCTTTGTATCAATGATATCAAGTCCTGGGAATAGAACCTTACACATGTTATATATTAAATAACAGATTTGAGGCAATTGTTCTTGGGGCTTATAGGACCGATATTTATTATGACAATCTCAAATTGTAGGGGAAGCATACCAGTTAGACCTAGAAAGCTATTTATAGGTCAGACACACTTTGCCACTTGACCTTGCTCCTCTGACCCATGTAAGAGTCCCAGCTATAGTAAGCCGTTATTTCACAGGGGAATATGTAGGGTCTCCCTGGAGTTTGAAAGAGAAGAAACAGACTTAATGCCTATGTATTTGGCATTGTCAAAAGCCAATAAATAGTTTTGATTTCATTAAAAATATAAAACTAGAATTTGAAGCAGGATGTGTGTTTATCCATTATTATTTAAAATGCTAATAAAGCAACCGCTGTGCTCTCTAATAAAGAACAGAAAATATTTTCTCTTCGTATAGCCTAGGGCTATGTTCACTCCCTACCAAGCCGTATTTGAATCCACTTTTAACTCAGACTTTTGATGCTGCTTCAGTGGAGCTTTGCCCAGACCCTCCTAATTAGGCTCTTCCACAGAAAGGCCATGTAGCTCATATGTTCCTAATTAGAGAAATCAAGATTTGAAAGAGATTCTCTACCATTTCTGCTAGTCACAACTTTTGGACAAGTGTCAAGATACATAGACATTTCCAACAACAAATGACATACCCATCAAGGACAGCAGATGAGTCATTCAACTGAGCTGCATGGCTCTCAGCCTGGGACACCTTCTCAGCAAGGTTCCTGTCCTTTATTTCCTGGGCAAGGTCATCGATTTTATCTTTAAGCTCTTCAGACATGGGTGGCAATTTAGTTTGAATGTCTTCAACATACTGATATATAAGAAAAGAGGGCATTTTAAGTAAGTGAATCCAAGCTTCCTCTCAGTTACTAATTTCTCTAGGAGATATAATTACACACTTACTTTTTTTTTTATGAAACTTCAATTTTACTAATATAGCAAAAAGAGAATACAGAATAAAAGCTGTTATTTAATGAGAGAGGTTAGGAAATATATGGAGCCAATTTACACCAAGAAGAACCTAACTATCTTTTTCTAAGAAATTGCTTCTTCATAGGTATAAATGCATAAATGATAGTCATTAGGATTTTTTAGACCATATGTGTTTCTATTGCCATATAGTATGGCATCTACTGCATTATGCACTATACTGAAAGTCTGCTTATAGGTTTACATTTCTCTTTTAACCAATTTTATATAAATATTGAAATGGATTTTAAGAGCTATCCTGGGAACAAGAAATGCCCTTCATCACTATGGAGAAAAATACAGGTTTATAGGAGTGTTGTGAGTATTCTCACACAGGCACTCGTGTCTGTTGGGAGAACAATGTGAAGTTTTAACTGTTGCCAAGAGCTAGGCACAGTCACAATGGAATCAAGCAGAAACGATCTGACACCCACAAGAAAAAAAAAATTAGTATTTGCTTATGTTACTGAGATTTATCACTGTTTCCCACTTATGAAAACCTATGCCACTGTTATTTTTTTTTTTTGGCTTTTATGAAATACTCACATCTATGACTGAGTTGATTTCACCTGCAAGACGGTTGGCTTCATCAAGTATGTCACTGCCTTCTTTTAAAGTGTTCTCAGTTTGCTGTTTGTCACGTTCAATAGCCTCCTTCTTTTTCTGTAGTACAGTATGAACAGAACATCAAAACCCTATCCAACCCGATATTCCTTCCTGACTTCCTTGAGCTGACTGAACACAGGCTTTGCAAACAAGGCACATAGTGTTGACAATGAGGCTGGATGAGAATGATATCAACTACCTGGCCAGTCCTTCAAGAGTTATTTTGTTTAAATGTCTATCTAGGTACTTTCTTCCTCCCAGTGTGAGAAAGTCATCCACGAGAAGAAAAGTTATGTGATGTTAGCTGAGGAATTAAGAACTATTTTTGAAGCAAGATGGACACCCATTTTAAACTCAAGTGTAAGTGCTGAATATATATTCCTGAGCATGTGGTAGCACCCTGAATTACATTGGAAGTAGACATTACATTCCAGAATCGAAGTCCAAATGAGTATTTTGTGAGCATAAACATAAGCAGATTTAGTCTAGGGGAGTTCTGTAAAAATTGGAAGAAGTGTGATTTTTAAGGGAACTTAGGGGAAGTGCTTTTCAAAAAAAGAGAAACGAACACATGGAAGAATAAACTTAATGGATTGTTCCATAAAAAGCAAGCTCTAATTTTTCCTTGATGCTGAGAGCTTGTCTCAAAACTACATGGAACTCATTCCTAGCCTAGAAGGGTAAAATCGACGAGAGAGAAATATTGTTATTTTTCTATTTGGAGTGTAACTTTGCCTCTTTTTTTTTTCCTTGATATATCTCACTCATTCTCCCAATCACTTGTGGATTCAATGGCATCTATTTTAAACCTCCGCCATTTATGTTTTTATACAGATAACAATGTTAGTTTTATATTCATTTATATCTCAAGATGTGTCAGGTAGCTTATAGGCTTTTCTCATTAAATTCTACACTAATTCGACAGGTCCTGTGTTTATCACCTTTTCAAAGAATAGGAAAATGAACAAATGATTTGCTCAAGGTCACACTAACTATGCAGTAGAGGTTTGGACCCTGGTCTACCTAATGATAAAGCCTGGGTCTTGAGCAATGAAAGCACTGTCTCTCCTATTATGGAAATCACTTGTCTTTTTTGTGGGCTAATATACATACTAAGTAGTATGTTCAGTGATATTGCATGGTGTCTTCGGTATGGTATGCTTCTTCAGTTATGTATGGTTCAACAGGCTGTGCATTTGTGTCCGGTCCCTATACTCTACATGCATCTTATGATGAATTGGTGTCACTGATTTTCATTAAACAGTGCTGTTAGCAACTGTTAGAAATGTAGCTTCTGAGTTGGTAGATCTCACTACCTTTTCAACTCAGAATCTACATTTTAACAAGAATCCCAGGTGATATGTGCAGTAAAATTGGAGGAGAACTGGCTTAGAACACTGCCTAGCACACAGTAAACACAATGTAATTGCTAACTATTATAATTATTTTATTCTTTGTCTTGGCACTCATTTATCTGAATTCTATTCTATAGGGTGGCCACAAACTATAGAAACATAGATAATGTTATTTTATTTTTTCTATAGATTGAACTGTCTTGATTGCTTCTTGATTACTAAAAGCACTGTTACTTAATATCATTGAACATATCACTTAGTATGTATATTAGTCCATGCTCCAGACTTTATGTCCATATTATGTACTTATTGGTCTAGTGACCATCTCCCTCACTTTAATATAAATGCCATAAAGACAGTCTATATGTATCACTGTAACTTCAGGACCTAGAAAAGTTTCCTCCATAAATTTTTTTGAATGAATAAATGAAATTAGAATCCATTCCTGGGACTTGCACTGGTGACACTTGGATCATTCAACTAGTCCCATCACTGGCTAATTCAGGGCAAGTTTTGTTATGTCAGTCTTACTCATGGACAACACAGGTAGGGGAGACCTGGTGTTGTGATTACAAGTCACATCTTACCTTCCAAGGCTTTGACATTCTTTTCCATAACTACCAATTAGTCCCTAGTGAACTGATTTAAAGTCATGCCATACTCAGACATTTGATAATCTTTTCAATTTGGCTTGTTTATATTCATGAATCAAGCTAATTTAAAATGCTGTACCAATCAGAGGGAGAGAATATTTCCACATGGATGTTAGGTGAAGAGCTATATCCATTCTGATTTCAATTAAGTAGTGAATGAGAATCTTCCTAAAAGCTCTATTTGAGTCACTTTAGGGAACCAATTGTTATGCAAAGGTCAAAATGTATTCTTTATCATACTAAAGCAGAAATGATAAGCCAGAAATTAGGGAGATTTTAGAGGTGGCTAATTTTCAAATTAGACACTAATGGAATCTAGCTTTGAGACAAGGAAAGATGACTATTTGGAGCTCCCAAATATTAATGAAAGTATTGATATAACATTTGTTTGGTTTTGCTTTATGGTACTTTATTCACTGGAAAAAAAAATTTGGTTCTATCTTTGCACCAGACACTGTTCTTGGCCCTGAGGGTACAGTGGGCAGAAAAGACATGTTCCTCGTGGCCTGCCTGGAGGGAGTAAATGAATGAGTAGATTAATATGATAATATTTTTAAAGTAATTCTGAGTGCCACAAAAGTAAATAAAGAGAGGATAGAGAATGATGTAGGATAAAAAATACCTAAGGTAGGAAGCTTCAAGCGTTCAAGGAACAAAAAGGGGACCCATGGATAAAGGGAATTCTCCCAAAGTATGCCATAAGCATAACTATTAAGTGATTCCACTTGAAGACCAAAGTTGATTATATTTCTACTTTTAACTTCTAATCAGATCTTAATTCATTCCAAAGCTAAGTTTAAAACCTTTTTGGGTGGGGTGGGTTTGCATCCTTCTAATGGTCAATTTGGGGACTGACTCTTCAGTATATGTTTCCTCGCATAACTGAATGGCTCACATTCTCGGGGTCCACCAGGCACACAGTCCCCTCTGCCTTCTCTGCATCGCTGGAAATGCACTCGAAGCCCGTGCCCCTCCAGAAGGCTGCATTCAAAGGCTTCTATGATCTAGCTCCAAATGCTATTTCCAGAGCCATCTTCTGCTACACACTTCCGGAGCTGGGCAATGAATTTTACGGCTCTCTTTGGCATTTTGTAAGATCACCTTGCCCTTCCAGAACTCTGCGTTTGGGCTCATGTGACTCCATCATTTCTCTCAGTCTCTGCTATGATGCCATCATTTTTGTGACTCTTTTGCGGATGCTCCTAGCCCATATTAATCACAGTATTATGTACGGTGAAAGGTTAAACTACCTGAATTGTAAGGTCTATGAGGCCAGGAATCATTCCTAGTCAGTCTCAAACACCCTGGTTACCAACAGCCCCTTGCTGTGATAGGTATCTGACAGACATTTAATATTACCACTGCCTACTTTCCTAACCTTATACCACACTATTTCCTAACACAAAACTAACTCTCCAGTTCATATAAACCACTCACAAATTTTCCAAAATATAACTAATCCATGACTTCACTATTTCAATTGTTAACGATAGTTTCCAGGATAAGACCCAAATTCCTTCACTTGATCTCAGAATGCACTTGGTCTTTCATTACTCAAATTCTGGAGCTTGTCTGTCTTCTCTGGCTCTCTATCTGCTATTCGTTCCCATGCAGTCTTCATTCCAGTCCTATCAAACCACTGAATTTTCCCCCAGATTTCTTGTGTTTTCTTTTTTCCCCTCCATGCTTTGCAAATAGTTTTCCCTATTTCTGGGATATTCTTCCTTTTCTACTTTGACCAACTAGTGCCTTTCGTTCAAGACTCAGCACATTTATCATGTCCTCTGTGAAGCCCTCCTTAACGCATGGGTGATTTTGATGCCCTTCCTTTGCTTAGCTCCATGATAATCACTGCAGTGCATATAGAGTGACTTACTTATGTGCACCTCTCACTAAATACAAATCACCTGAAGTCATCAGAGATGGTGTTTTATTCTTTATATCACTGGTTCTCAAACTTAAGGCTACATCCGAATCACTGGAGGGATTTTTAAAACACATGTTGCTGAGCTCCACTCCCCGTTTCTGAGTTGATAGGTTTGGGATGGGGCTCAAGAATTTGCATTTTTAAGTTTCTAGTTGATATTCATGTTGCTCTTTGAAGGACCACACCATAAGGACCAGTCTTGGATATAATCAATTTTTGTGTTTGGCACATTTCTTGAACTTAGTAGGGGCTTAATAAGAGTTTTTAATAAAAAAAAAATGCTTATCTCCTTAAAATCAACAAATAACATTTGAGCTGGGTCTTAATTATAGCCCCTTCTTTGTGAACACAGGCACAATGTAGTTATCTATTTAAAATACGTTGTATCCATGTGATTGAATAATAAGGTGTATCAGTTATTCTCAAACCAGTATGCACATTGGATTAACCGAGGGAGAGTTTTAGAATATGAAAACTAGGCTATAGCCCAGACTAACCAACTGACACTCTGGGTAGAAGCTCAGGGAACCCATCTTTGAACAAACTGTTCAGGTGATTCTCAGTTAGCTGGTCTAGCAGGAACCTTGGTAAGCAACCTAATCAGCCCTGGCAATCTTAAGTAAGCTGTGCCTTACTGCTGTTAATTTAGTCAGTTTATCTATTTACTCCAGTAAGTTTTTAACAAGTCTTTGGTTAAGCATGACACATAAAATGAAAATACAGAACGGACCACTTAGAATCGCATACTGACTACATAAGCTCTAGGCATCTCTGGGGGTGCCCAAGAGTGATGGCTCCTGGTTTTAAATATCACTAAAAGGAAGGAGAGGCTGCAAGGACCATTTACTGTGCCACTATAACTCTTCTTGAAATACTTCCCAAATGCTTATTATGCTTTCCACACAGGTAAATTTAATTTCTTAAACTGTTGCCATAAAATGGAGAGGTGTGCATCTGGGTAAGTCACACCACTGGGCAGTGGTGTCACTGAGCAGGATGAATCATGCTGGCACTGGGGAGAAGAAGGTATCCCACCATCCTGCCTCTCAAGATGGTACGTTTTCTTTAATATTTCCAGCATGTCAGTAGCAGTAGACTCCAAATTGGTTAAGATTAGATACTGCAGTTAAGGAAAAAAAAAATGAACCCCCTCAATCTTCCTTCAGAATGACAAGGATATATCCCAGGAGAGGGACTAGAAAAAAATACTTAAAAAATTAACTCATCGGGGCACCTGGGTGGTTGTCGGTTGAGCATCTGCCTTTGGCTCAGGGTCCTGGGATCGAGTCCTACATCGGGCTCCCTGCTCAGCATCATATGTGCCGAATTTACTCTTGAGAAAAGTGCTCAATTTGCCATATCAAGTATTGAGGAAAGAAAGAAGGAAGGGAGGAAGAGAAAGGAAGGGTTGGAGGGAGGGAGAAAGAGAAGGAAGAATCTGTTTTAGTTCTAGCCTCATCAGCTGTCTAAAAAAGGCAGAAGCTGCCCATCATTTCTTGAGGAGAGAATTATCTCTTGTCTGTGAGGAAAAAATTACTCAGATGTGATCTGTTCATGTTAGTCCCTTTTAAAATTTCATTTGCGTAGAACACATTGCAAAGAAAAAGAAAACCAAAATCTTCCCAAGCATTGGACTCTCAATGTGCCAGATTCCATTAGGAAATACTTGGTACTTTTGTGACCTATGGCAGCTAGATGTCTAAACAATGGTGTATGGGTTACAAAATCATATGAGGTCAGTACTCAGAGATACCCTGGATGTGCTCTACTATAATGCACTCATTGTGTAGTTTGAAGACTGAGGCTTAGAGACTTGAGTTGCCTTGCCCAAGATGTATTTCTAGAAAGTGAAACAGTTGCCATTAAGATCAAGGTCCCATTTGTATCACACTGTCCTCTGAATCTTCAATATCTTGTTATCTAAATTTTATTAGATTCTATAGCAATGGTCACTGGCTTTTTTTTTTTTTTTTAAAGGATCATTTCCTGTTTTGCTTTTTAGAAGTCTCCTTTCAGAGTTGTTCTTGATTTGGGTAAATGTGCAGCAATTTGACTTATCCAGCCATGTTCAACTCCCAACCCTCTCCCCTATCCCTACAGATTCAGATGAGAATCCCTAAGACTCACCTCCAAAGCAGTCATGTTTTTCTGGTTTGCTGAAGAAAAGCGATTAGCCTCTCTGATTTTCTCCATGGCTTCTCGCAACAGGTCCCAAGCATCATCAACTTTGTCTTTGTAGTCTGCCAATATTGCCCGGAGACCCTTCTCCATTTCCTCGTTTTTCCCTCGGGACTCTCCAAATAACTTCTTCACCTTCTTCAGAAGGCCTTCTGCAGCTCTGCAAGCACCCACCCAATAACAGACAATAAGCCCTTGTCACTGCCTCACGGTTTATTGGTATTAAACTGTGTTACAAAGAGATGCTAGCATTCAAAGAATGGAAAAATAAGACAGTATTTAAAGCAGATTGACTATGTACTAAATCAAGATGAAAACAGAAAAGTGGCAAGGCCATTTATAATTAATATATTAAAGTACAAAAAATACACACATTTAAAGTGTATTAGTAATATAGCATCCTCAACTGGAAAGAGTCATGTTATTCTCATAATCTGACTGATGAAATAAATTTTATGATTCACTTCACATACCAAAAAAAAAAAACCCTAATTCACCATAGTGATACATTTTCTCTGTTACTTTGAAATATAAGGTATGAACACTGATATATTTGGTTTTAGTATATATACTAAATGAGCAGTATATATATGTGTATATATATATTATTTAAGTATTAATAACACCATCACTTTGAAGTTAGCTGACTATAAATGGAAACATGTATTTTTTTTATTGAATGTATGGTCACAGAGTTCATTTGCATTAGTAAAATCACGATTGCTATTCCCAACCTCAAATTTTCAGCCCTAATTGCAAAGTCTTAGGTATTTATTATTTGATGACTCCTCTTTTCAGCATTTCCTAAAATGACCAAATGCACAGAATGGACTGCTAAATTCATAACTTTATTTATTCAGAAATATTTTCATTAAAAACAACAACAAAAAACTATTGATGGTTTAGAAGTCCCTAATACAGGCAATTAATAAAGCAAGTCCATTAGCCTAATTATGGAAGGGACAGCTCCAGAAAAGATCATTTATTTAATTATTTAAATATAGGCAAAAACATGCTTTTAATCCATTTTAGAGCAAGAGAAATCAAAACTAAATGAAAAATAAATAACAGAGCATCTTCTACTTCTAAGTGTGACGAAAATTTTAGAAAACTGTAAGCAATCATTTGGAAAGCTCAGTGTATCAAATGAAAAAATAATAAAGCATCTACTCACACTAACTCATCTTCAGCAACTTCCTTTTGTTTATCTAGATTTTTCCTCCTCAGTTCTGCCATCATCTGATCAATCTCTTTCTGAAGCCCTTGCAAATTTCTCTCAAAGGCCTTGTCTTGAGTTCCTAGAGTTTCATTTAGTCTTACAGCTTTTTCATTTACAGCTGCAGGGGGTAAGACAAATTTTGTAAATTAGTAAACAAAAGTGCCACATGCAAAAATGGCACCAAGCATCTGCTCTTCCCCATGATCTCCAAATGAAATGTAGTTTGCCACGGGTGTTCCTGCTGGGAACAGAGAGGTAGTTAATAATGATCCATAACAAACAGGGAAAGGTGACATATTTCTCCAATCATATTTCTTTTGGGGGGCACAGTAATTAAAGCATGGTGTTTCTATCTCACAAGGAAAAAAAATGTAAATAAAGAAATGGCCCAAACCTTCTTCAGGTCAGAGGTAAACAATGAGACATGAAGCATAGCCCTCGGAAGATGAAAATATAAGGTCTGCGCTGCTGATAAGACACAGTCCTATTCAGTCAAATTTGAAAATACCTGGTACAGAAAAACTCTCAGTGATGAGATCTCTGAAAACAAACCTGCCCTTGTTCTTCCACACAGTTCTATGTTCATTTGTTTAAAGGAATGAGGGAGGAAGCACTGGTCTTGGGATGAGGGTTATTGATTAGGGCTCAAAGCTACCTTCTAGCAATAACATCCATTGTAAGAGTCCGTGTTTATTATGCATTGAATAAAGTTTCAAACTGTGCTCTTTGGAATCTTAGGATTCTCTGGGTGCTTCAGGTATTCTACAAACAATATCTATTCTGTCAAGTATCTATTTGATAGGTTAGTGTTCTGGGCAAGATTTCATTTGAAAAAAGAATTCTATGTCAAATAAAAGTTTGAAAAACTGGTGAGTTGAAACATTTATATAGTTCTACCATTAGTTTTAGGTCAACTTCTCCTGAAGTGTGTTTTATGGCGCATTAACTCAACAAGTTGAAGGGAGATGTTTTCTCAAACTCTTGTGTGCCAAACCCTTATTTCTGTAATATCACCTGTGAACATCCCTAGACTGAAGCTTGGGGTTGGCTAAGAGACATTTTCTACTATTCAATGCTATATCCTAAGATGTCTTTAGGCAAAGAATCCTGAAAATTCACTTCTATTCTTGGAGAAACTTTTCTGATTAACACTGGTTGGAGCTGTCCCAAGAGTAACAGTTACTCCAAGTTCCTGTAACCGGTGCACACAGGCCAAACAGCCGCCATGAAGGGTGTGACATGGTGGGTTAGTACCTTGGTTCTGAAATGATTCTCAGGGCCTACCCCAGACCTATTGACCTAAAAATTCTGGGGGTAGGGGGCCAGCAATCTGTGGTTTAACAAGCCCTCTAGGGGCTTCTGCTGTATGCTAGAGTTTGAAAATCATGGTTTAGCAGAAGGAATTGGGTTTCAATCTTGAATTTTACCCTTTCTAAAATGCATCTTTCGAATTCTCTTTTCATGATCAAGGTAGTCGGTTAGAAAGTTGCGGCTGTCAACCCCTTATTCCCACAGCCATAATCTGCAGAACGATTTGAATCAGCTGTTTTAAAGAACAAACATGGCCATTCTTAGCCCTGTGGTAGAAATTATTGCTCAGGTGCCATATTCCTAGAAGTTGGTGAGGGTGGCTCTTTCTTGGTCAACTACTCATAGTCATACTTTGACATATACCAAAGAACCTTCTCAAGATCCCACCACTACTGTTGCTAAGTTATCACCTAGGCTGCATTGTGTTTGTTAAGGAACCACAGTGACCATGGACTGATTAATTGGAAAGCTCCTTGATCCAGCAGACTTTGTGAGAACTATGGCAGAATGCCAATGGTTAAAATGTAAGGTTTATACTTATTAGATTTCAGGAAAGGCTGTAGATTTGGCCTTCCCTGTGGTACCTCTCCTTCTTTGGTCTGACTGCATATCTGCCTGTATGTTGACTTTAACTAATTGTATTATGTAACTAACCACTGACCTCATTTGCATTCATAAATCCCACTTTTCAACTCGCCAAAGGTGTATGTTTTTCTTTTATTAAGTGAATATATAAATGAGCTTTTGAAATTTCACTGAATTTAGGTCCTGGGCCTAGGTGGTTGTAAGGGGGCAATGTGAGAGATATAGCCTCACTTGTGGTCTATTCTCAAAACTAAACTTCTGCAGAGAAGAACTTGCTGGAAAAAGCATGATACAAGAGAGAGGAAAGGAAAAGATGGCTGTACCTTTTGGAACATATACATCATTTCTTTTAAATGAAAGTAATATGTAAGCAACTAGAAGAAATTATTAAGGCACACAAAAATGACAGTAGAGATATTGTAGAGATACTGCATTAAAAAAGAAAGCATCATTTTAATAGAAGAGATGTGATTGCTCCATTCCTTCTATATATGGAATTTGGAAATTCTCTGAATATTTTTAAATTAAAGACGAATGTGTTATTTAGTCTCTTAGATTCAAAGGTATACACTATCAGCACTTTCAGTTCAGTACATTTTCAACAGAATTGAAAATAATTATGACATTAAGATAGCTCTGAAATTTACTTATTTATTTCTACTTTATTTCAAAGGAAATTTTAAGTAGTTTTGAAATATCTTTAAAACAAGATAAAATTAACAGAAAAGGAGATGGAGTAAAGATAAAAAATAATGTAAATCAGAAGACATCTTAATAGACAGTATCTCAGTAGCCAAGGCAAAGCAGGGGATAAAAAAAGGGATACTTAAGAAGTATACAGGATCTGTAACATACAAATACATTAATCCCTCAGGAAAAACAAAGTTGTTTTTCACACTGAACCAAAAAAAAAAAAAAATATGCTCTGATGGGTAAATTCATCATGAATGACAAATACTACTGTGACCTGAGAAACAGGAAAGAAGGTGTCTAGCATTTATTAAGTCCTAATATATGTCAGTACATATGCTAATTAATGAGTTGTTTATATATATGTATACATACATGTATACATATATATATATATTTGTTCATTAATTCTAATAGTTCATGGAATGAAATATAGAGTATTTGTGATCTAATCAGGAGTCATAGCAAAGATTTTAAAAAATTAATGGGAGATAAGAATGCTTTAGATTAATAGACCGTGATTACCTAGGAAGAGACCATGACTTATAATGGAAGATAGGGGGAGTAAGGTATCCCAACTAAAAATAAAACTGAACTAGACAAATGCCAGGCTAACAAATTCATTTTTCCCCACAGCAATTTATTGTCACTAATAAAACCTCAAAGTACTGATACTATCCCCAATTAGTGTAGTTCTAAGAGAAAAAAATGGGTGTGGATATGTCGTATAACCTACTTAAGGCTTTTAGTGAGTTTCCTTTTCTTTAAAAAAAAAAAAAAAAAAAATCTCCTGAACTGCCAAGACTTGTAGTACATATAAACATCCCAGTCAAGATTTCGTTTACCTCTGGCATATTCAAATTTAAACATTCAGGAAATTTTAACAGTTGGATTAGTTTTGCCAAAGTTCTCTTCTAAAGGGCTGTCATGTGTGTTATCATTTACATTAGTAGCTGCCAGAAGAAGGGAGCAGTGTCCACATTTCTCCCGGGTACAGGATCCCAGCTATTCCACATGGACCTTCATGTAAATTAGGAAAAAGGTGTCCTGTCTGGACAGACACAACCAGACTGCCTGATGGACGCACAATTTAGAGAATGGGAGACACCTTTGATGATACATAACCCTTTTCTCTGATGGATGACGGACTGTGGGTGATGAGCAAAACCTGGACAAAAATCTCATCTCCACCTGCCCCCTGCTGGTGCCTTTGGGTGGTGCACAGACTGGGTGGTGGGTACACCGCAGAGAGCGAGCACCTGAGCAGTGCTGATGTTGGAGTCTGTTGAAAACATGGACCAGCATTTATTCTTATGCACGAATATTTGATTGGAATGATTTCAAAATAAGTTTCCAGGATCGGCTGTAAGTATTAAGTGTTTGAGATTGAGGTAGAAGGAAAAGGAAAATTACTGGGTTATTGACCAGTGCCTTCATGGATCCAGGCAGAAATTGTTTTATCTGCAATGGGATATATATATATATATATATATATATATTTTTTTTTTTTTGTGGGGTGGAGGGAGTGCTGGGTGGAGAACACTTCAAGTCGCATTAATGGAAAATAAAACCGGGAAAAGCACAAAAAACTCCATCTAGCAGAAGATAAACCATAATGAGTTAGTTAAGAATTTTCCGGTAGGTGTAACTTTTGTTTCAGGTCCTGACATGTTTTGCCTCAGATTAAAACGCTGTTGCTTCTTGCATTGGGGAATCTTTGGGAGTTTTCTGTCTCTTTTTGGCCAGTGCTTCCTAAGAATTACCTGTTAGGATCTGCCTTGAAGGTTATCTCATGTTCTGATTTATTTGGCTGTATTTCCAAGCAAAATATCTAAAACATGTAACACTGTAAAGCAATAAAAGTATTTTATTTTTAAGAGAAAAAACCCCAAACATTTTTCCTACTTTCTAAGCCTGCATGTATGTTTACTGTATCATAACAGACAGACACTTAAGATCTAGATTTTTGGGTTTTTTATGTTTTCTTTAAGAGTTCTTAATTTGGGGTTTCGCCCCCAAATAGCTTCCACTTTGATCCTAAGTCAGATTGGTAGATGCCAAGCACTAATTCCTAGAGAATGATGGACTAAATACAGTGAAACTTCTGGTAAGGTAGCAAGTCCAGACTCCAAGCAACAGATGTTCATTAAAAACAGCACCGAGTATTTTAAAAGCCATTTTGAGAAATTAGAGTGCTGCTTTAATGTACTGAGTGGAATGATAAAATTAGCTTTTTAAAAAATTAATCTTTTCAATAGTTTTGAATACAAACAATAGCAAAGCATAAGTTTATTGGTTATTTACTCATAATAGCCATTCCTCAAAAGTTAAGGCATTCCTAAGGGACTGCATTCAGTTTACCATGACGCTGCACTCATACTGACTAATTCACTGGCTATTATCCCTTATTTAACACTGTAGATTGGAGATGCTTGGCAGATAATGCCCTTGACTATCCCAACCAAAGTACTTTTCAAAAGCCAACCCTCAGATTGAGAAAGGGCATTTCTTACTGGAGAAATTCCAGTCCTGTGTAATCCCTTTTTCTATTTTTCTGGTGGGAGACATAATGATTAAATTAAATGATTCTAATACCTTCTGCCTCCTGGGAAAGCTCCTTAATGAATCCTCCTAAGGAATCTGCTCTCCTGCCGGTCCTCTCAGCATCCTGTCCAGTTTGCTCGCCATCTGCTGTCACTTTGGTAGCCTAATGATCCAAATTCAGGAAAAGCATAATTAATTGAGATGATGAAGCTACAGCGAGATAAGCTCCCACTGGCTACATTTTCTTTCAAATATAACTCTGAGCCAAAGGCAATCGATGAATTATTGATCAGATATACTGGAAATGACACCCCATGCTCCAGTATACAATTAAACTTTATTACTTCTTCCATTAAATGGAAATCAGAGAGTTGTATTTGGGCTTCTTTAAAACCCTTGCTATATGCAATGACATAGAAGAAGCGATAAAACACAATTATTTTTGAAGCATCTTTGAGGTACAGTTGCCAAAAGTATTTAATGGATTCTTCAGCCTCCACATGTTGCAGTTTTGTCCATATTTTATTTACTGAAAAAGTGTGGAGCGTAGCAATGATCTCTTGAGGAGGCACAGGCAGTCTGTCTCAATAAGCTTGATCCTATAAATGCAGTCTAGATCAATACATTAATTAAAGAAACAAAGAGGGAGAAATGCTTAGCTACTCAGTAGTAAATGCTTGTTTTATAACACTCTAAAGATGCCAGGAAACCGTTGAAGAAGAATAAATGATAACTTTTCCCATATGTCATCACCAGAAAAGACAGCTGTTAATCACAGTACCATACATCATTGTCAACACAATAAAACAACTCCACAAATAGCTTCATGCCCCCAAAGAATATCGCCACACATTTGCACTTTCATTCACATTGAAGATGCCACTTGACACAAAGGAATCCATTCAATGTGTTTACAGTTAAGATATGCTATATTTAGTCAAATAAAAATGTCATATGTAATATTCAAAGTTTCTTAAAAGATACTATAAGGTTTAGAGAACCTTGAAATAGGGGTACAGTTCATTTTTCTATGCATGAACATATGCTAATAGGACTTTTTTTTTTTTACTGAAAAGATAGGGATAATCTAACTACAGATAATGAATCAAAGAATCACAAACTGCCTTAAAATAATTTGAAAAAGGTCCAAATTGGCAGAGTATTAATATCTATAATCCTGTACCAGAGTGTTTGCATTCTAGACATGCCCAGAGAGTCTAAATTTTTTTTTTTACACATAAGAGAATTTTAGATAGAAATTAAAATAGAACTAAATGTCTGGCCAACACAGAATACAGTAAGTGATGCTATAGAAATTATACTGCATTCTGTGATTTCCCAGGGGGCAGTAAGAGGTTTAATTCACGACCCCTTTCAAGGTTTTACATAAAAGGTAGACTATAAAGTCCAACTATCATCAACTAATTTCTCAACCTGTGAGTGTTAACATCACAAATAAAAGGATGAAAGGATAAGATCCACTGGAAGTTTTAAAAATCCCTCTTAACAGTCTGCAGTAAATATATAAAATTATTTAGAAGGTGCTAATCAATATTTTTACATATACACACCACATGCATATACACATACCTATAACATTTTAAATGTTAAAATTACTAAAGTCAGCTGCTTAAGATGTTGGCTTTCTAAGCTGTCGTAGATGTTTGTCTAGCCTGGACTTGATTGTACTCTACAATATCACTCCTATTTTCACGTATCACAGACTTTACTAAGGGACTTGATCTACATTATGGTCATTTTCAATATCTTAATTATTAATGTATTACCAGCACTGTATTACCACACAGGAAGTGTACATTATGATTTAAACTTAAAATTTATTCTTTGCTTTATCAGTATCTTATCTATATTACTAAAAGATCATAACTTACATATTCACACAACAAAGGCTACCAATTCTGGCTCATAGCCTAAAGCATTTAATTTTTAAAAATAAATATACATTGATACACTGTCTCTTTTAAATTCTGGATGATCACGATTCCATCCACTGCCTTTAATTCTTCTTTCTTAATTAATTTATACAGCAACATGTAAGAGTCATCATTAACAAACTTGGTACTGATTATCGGAGCACTCCAATAGTAAGATGTCAAGAATTCTACATGACCCATGATAAGAAACAAGTTAAAAGAGTTATCATGAAGACCCTGTGCAATCAACCTCCCTGGCTTCTGTTTAGTATGTGAAATATGCCAAACTCTCTCCTTCTTAGGCTCTTCTCGGATCCTGCTGTCTTTGCCTGGAATAAACTTTCCCTTTGTCCTTTCAATGGGTGGATCCTTGTCATTTGTCATCTTTCATCTTTCAGTTTCAGTGTCCCTTCTAGGTGTGGCCATTTCTTGGGCACCTAGCCAGGTTTCCAGACTTTCCACAGAACATTTTTTTTCATAACACCATGCATTTTAGAATTACTTATGGCTCCTCTATTTGTTGGTTACCTCCCTGACTAAAAGGTAAGCTGTAAGAGAGCAGGGACTTGGTCTGTTTTGTTCGTCACTTTATATCCAGCTCCTAGTGTGTTGCCTCATTGAGAGCAAATATTGAATGAATGAATGTTCAATAAATGATTAAGCAATTACCTAGTGAATCTTGCCGACCTTATTACCATTCTCATTGCCTACCTTTCTATGAACACTCCCAGAAAGGGTTTTTGTTTATACTATTGTTCCTTAACTCCTCTCCAATTATCCAAAATAAATCCAGCCTTCAAGAGTCAGTTCCAGCTCAACCTTCTTTGTGAAGCCACCCCTGACCATTTTGGCTTATGCTTTCCTTTCTTAGATTTTTTTTCCTCTTTTCTTTTCTTCTTTCTTTCCTATTAAAATTTTTCTTTTAATACGCCATGAGATATCTTGATTGTATATTTTCCAAAGTACTTTTCCAGTTGCATCTTCCAATTCTTCTAAAAGACTTCACCAGTCTTTCCAATGCAATGAAAGATTCTGTATTATACTTCTTTCCTCCTTCTCTTTTTGAATGTAATATCATCCTAATGACATCAGTGGTCATACATTCTGATCTAATATGGAAAAATATTTACAAACATCAGAAACCCAGTTCTGAAACCTTTGCATTAATTCTGAACTGAATTAGCATTTTCTGGCTTTAAAGAAAGGCAGCAGTTTGAACTGGTGACTTGTTGATAAACACATTTCTGCTGAGGGAAGGGGAGGGAGAGTGAATGCTGCATTTCTCCGTTGGCCCCAAAATGCTCACTCTCACAAAAGGGTACTTCCAAAATAAACATGCAATGGTGACTTTAAAACTTTTACTGCAACACAATAATGAAGTAAACAGTAATTAGACACCTACCAATTTTTTCCCCAAAGCAAACCAAGAAACAAACAAACCAAAAAACATAAACAGGAAGATAACTCTGCCTATTCTTGCAGTTCCTCCAATCATGTTAGAAGGATGTCTAACATGATCAATGATCAAAATTTTTTTTTAAATTTTTTGAAGATTTTATTTATTTATTTGACAGAATGAGAGAGAGCGCACAAGCAAGGGAAGTGGGAGAGGGAGAAGCAGGCTCCCTGCCCAGCAGGGAGCCCGATGCGGGGCTCGATCCCAGGACCCCGGAATCATGACCTGAGCCGAAGGCAGATGCTTAACCGACTGAGCCACCTAGGTGCCGCAATGATCAAAAAATTTTCAAATAGTAGTATTTTCATTTTAGAATGTTCCCCTTTTCTCCTCCTTCCCCCTCCCCAGGTATTTAACTTGAGAGAATGGGTTTTCTTACACATTAATTTTATACCTATATGAAGCAGCAACAGTAAGTCAATAATTTGGCATTTCTGTTTATAGTTGCTCCAACTGTTTTTTCAATTTCACAAAGCCATTATCCAGTGTTGCTCCAAAATAGAGACTGTAGATTCCAGGGAGCAAAAATTCTTTTTTTAGATTTATTTATTTGAGAGAGAGAGCATGCATGTGAGCAGGTGGAGTGGCAGGGAGAGAGGACCTCAAGCAGACTCCCTGCTGAACGCAGAGCTGGATGCCGGGCTTGATCTCCCAACCCATGAGATCATGATCTCAGCTGAGACCAAGAGTCCCACGCTTACTGAGCCACCCAGGCACCCTACATAACATTCTGAAATCAATGTTAAGTCAAAGAAATGTGAAGCAGGGCGTTACACTAAATTTTTGGATTCAATACACTAAAAAAAAAAAAAAAAAGAAAGAAAGAAAAAGTGAAACCTAGGAAAAGTTACCTCGTGTTTTAAAGAAGAAACAGAGACCTGCAAAATCTGACTTTGGGTTGTATAATATTTTACACACCGTGCGGACTGTGGCATCTGCTAAATGCAGTAGACATGTAGGCATTGATCCCTGCCCTGTATCCCCACCCCCAACCATCTTCTACCTGATACCACCTATCGTGCCTATGAGCCCAAGTCATCTGAGACAATCCAGTGAATGCAGTGTGATGATCTGCTGTGACATATGAGGAAAGAAGTCCCTTTCCATCTTCATCAAAGTTTTGCTATAGAAGAAAATTGACAGCCAAGTTCTCATTCTTCTCACAAGCAAACTATGCTCGTATCACAAGTCCTTCAGGAAATCCTAGCGCCTTTCATCCTTCTGCGGCTTCTCAGTCCCGAGGTGTTCCTTGAGTGTATCTCGCAGGTGCACTTCCGGCTTGTGCAGCTCCGCCCCCGCGCCTCCACGCCCTCCTCCTTGACCACCTGCTTCTTGAACTGGTTCATTTAACACCAGAATCAAATGATCCTGGGGTTGGCTAATTTGCTACAGGAGTTGAGAATGTTCTTGACCTCTGGCAGCAATGCCAGAAGCAGGGAAGGATTCTGTCAGTCATTTGTCTCATCTGTTGAAACTGAGGCCGATCCGTAAGAATTCAAGGGGTCTTCTCCAGAACTTGTAGGGTTGCCACTGCAGTCACTGAAGACTGAGGAGCCCCCGTCCTAGCTGCTGGGGGAGGGGATCAACCACAGCCCGACTTTCTCTCTCTGGGGTTCCCACAGAAAGATGCCCCACTGCTCCGTCAGGGTAGTTGAAACCAGCTCTTAGGGCTGTGGTCATTTGCTGGCCTTCATAGCCCATTGACATGATCTCGGTTACCACATTCTCACAAGACTGCCCTGTGACACGTGCACCTGTTGCGTCTTCAAAGGG